GGGGAATAGAATTTAGTTTGGAAAACTATCAAGTAAGCCATTTTACTGTTCTCTCTTGTATGAACAGGCACAAAAACAACCAAGGACAAATCAGCTAACCAGAATACTGACTCACTGAGGCAGTGATTAACCCATAAGGAATCAGGACAAAGTTAGGCAAGCAGCAATACAGACAAACCACTTCTCAATTACAATTTTTCAATACCCACCCCCACCCCCAGTAGAGAGTGCTGCAATGAACTTTTCTATTTTCTCAACCATTGGTGTCTTCTCCCAGTCACTCACTTCATTTTTTTCAGCCATCATTTTTGTTAAGTAGCTTTTCTGGAGAAAAACTGAAGTTGTGATAGTTTCAGACAAAGACTGATATGTTTCATTAAGTTAACACAAAAGGTACAACCATCTCAAAGCCAAATGCAAACCAAATTAGGGTTAGGAACTGGCCAGCACTAAACTGACTGAGGAGGAGGAGGGAAGGCTTCATGCTAAAATATACCATATGTGACATTTAATTTTCCCTTATATTCTGCTCTAATGAGTCATCCAAATATTATAACATTATTTTACTCAGAGCTGATAAACTATAGATTCAGTTGTGTAAGCCGTTTCATTGCAGAAAACCAACACTATGCAAAAATCTGTACCTTCCCTGTAGTCAGATGATTTAAAATGCCCGTCAATTATGCTAAAAGTTTTTAAAACAAAGATGTTTTCAATAATGCTGTACAAAAACAGAAAAAATATTGCCTCTAATGGTAAAACCTTTGTTTTAATCATGTTTCTGTGTTGAAAAAGCAACTTGCTCACTGAACTACCAATATTCCAAAAAAATGGGATGCAAACAATGTAATATGCAACTGCTGAGCTGTATGAGTTCCTAAAACAAATTAAGAGATTAACAAAAGTGTTGATTGTCTCAGACAAATTTTAGATCATCTTAAGAACCTAATATGCAAAACATGCAGGATCGAGTTAATTCCACACTACATATGGCAATACTTTATATATGCTATTGTAAAAAAGGCTAATTATTAAAAATATTACTGAATTTACTGTCCTTCCAGTGTTTTCTGTGAAAATTCTGGCATCAACTCCAATCAATTAGATTTTGAAATTCACATAAAATAGAGAAAATAGAGAGAGATTCAGTGGAATTCTAACTTGCTAAAACCTGTTTTAGTTGGTGGGATTAAGGGAAGAGAGATAAAATTTTCAGCTATTGGTGATCCTCTGTAACCAAGGTACTGCAATGTAAAAGTTAACAGCAATTCTGTTACTGAACCATAACTAATTTATCTTAAGAGAAAACTAGCTTAACAGGTTTCCAACAATTACTCTGGATGCAAAAAACTTGTTGACAGACCTAAATGAGACAATGTGCCATGTAACACTATGGGACAAAAAGTGCCCCTCAATGAAGAATAGTCCTTTTAGTCTACTGTGGCTCCAGGTGTAAGACGATCTACATCTAGAATGCTGCAAGCATGCAGTGGAGCTTACAGACTGGTACAAAGAAAACCAATAAAGCAGAGATTTCATAATCTAAACTTTGGCCAAGAACAGTAACAGAAAGCTTATATTGGACTAGAATTTGTTAAAAGATTAAAGCAGATCCCAGTTAAGAAGACTAGCATCCTTACCACAGGAACTTAAACTGCAGGAGAATTTCAAACAGCATAGCATATCTGATTTAAACTTCTTAATAGGGAACTTTGTCTTGCTTTATCTTGCTATGGCATGACACAATCCATCAAAACAAAGAAAACCCACTATCAGCAAGTTTTAACAGAATTTGAATTTAAGCAACGAGTCAGCTGGCAGCATATTACAAGCAGGGTAAGTATGACAAAGGTTAAAGTCACAGCCAGGATAAAACCACTGTTTTATTAAAAAACAAAACACACAAACAAAACACAAACACAAAAAAACCAAAAGCAAACAAACAAAACCCACAAATCATAACAGAAATTCCAGCTGTCCCAGAGAAATTTAGCTGCATATTACCAGACGATCTCTAGCTTTGTCTGTACTCCCAAGCAGCCGTCTCTTGCGCCTACATACATTTGAGCACTGTTCAGGCTAAGTTGCTAAGTGAGACTAAATCTTGCCTATGGAAATTCTTTCAGTGATCAAATAGAATACTGAAGCCTCCAATAATATAGTCATTGTTACAGGCTCAGCACCAACATGCACAAGGAGGAGAAATGTAGTTTTACATATACAGACTAATATGAAACACTATTAACAACTTGCCAGCTGTTATCTTAACTACAGTTATACAAAGAAGTCTCAATATGCCATGCTATTTATAAGTACTCCTCTAGAGACCATCTCTAATCCCAAGGAATAAGCTTATTTGCAAACCTGTCCTTTGGAACAAAAGTCCCAGGTGGGAATTTGCTGTCTGGCACCTCCTACTGTTTCCTGCAGTCTTACAAGGCAAGCCAAGTAATTCTCAGAGAAGCCTTTCACTAAACAGCACCAATGGCATAACTCTCTTTTTGATGCTATTCCTTACCTGAATTATTACAGGGAATGCTTGGAGAAGATTTATTTAAAACTTTTCCAAAGCCTACTACTATACTGAAAAAAACCACTACAGGTACACAAAATAATGTCTTTAAACTGTATTTTTTATTTGCTAACTCAAATTATACTTTAACTTTTCATGTCCAAAAAACAAGTGCATGCATAAAGTCTAGAGAGCACTCAGTAAAGAATCAATAATGGAAGCATTAGCAGCCCATAATAAGATGTGTTTTATTTAATAACACATTTTCAAGATGTACATTTATCAAAGCCCTGATGTCAAGAATAGCTTCTCAAAACAAGGGGAAGAAACACAGAACCTCATTGCTCTCTGTGACAGACACTGGTGGTCTGGTGGCGAGGACAAGGGAAGGGCAGCAGATGCTTTATACCTTGGCTTTAGCAAAGTTTCAACAAACAGCTGAAGCTCCTTATCACCCAACTGGTGAAATATGGGCTGGATAAAAGGAAGGGTAGAAAACTGGCTGGCATCCTAAGCTCAAAGAGTTGTCACCAGTAGTGCAAATTCCAGCTAGCAGGTAGAAACTGGTTGGGTCCCTCAGGGCTCTCTGCTGGGACCAACACTGCTAAATGTCTTCACTAATAACCTGAATGACGGGAGGCAGTGCACTCTCAGCAACTTTGCTGACAACAGCAAATTGAGGGGGAGCAATCAATATACTGGAGGGCAGGGCTACTATTCAGAGACACCTGGACAGTCTGGAGAAATGGGCAGACTGGAACTTCATCAAGTTCAAGACGAGCAAGGGCAAGGTGTTGCATTTCGGATGGTCTGCACCAGCAAAGGCCAGGAGCTGACCCCCTAAAAAGCAGCTCCACAGGAAAAGACCTGCAGGTCCTACTGGGTGACAGGTGTCGGCAGTGCAGCCTGGCAGCAAAGACAACCAACCGCATCCCGGCTCAAACAAGCGGTCAGTGCAGCCAGCAGGGCCAGGGACGTGATCCTTCCCCTCTGTTCTGCGCTTGTAAGGTTGCATCTGGAGTACTTTGTCCAGTTTGGGGCTCCCCAGTGCAAGGATATTGATGCACTGCAGTAAGTCCAACGGAGGGCTGCCAGGATGGTCAAAGAAGAGTCACATACGGGGAGAGATGGAGAGCTGCTTTCAGTTTTGAGAAGAGCGGACTAAAAGGGGACCTTACTGCTTTCTACAACTAATCAGTCAGAGAATACATAGAAGATGCAGCCAGACTCTTTCTTAGAGCTGCACAGTCATAGGACAAGATGCAACAGACAAGTTGGAAGAGGGGAAATTGTAATCAGATTGCAGGATTATTTATTTATTTACTTACTTACTTACTTACTGTGAGGGTAGTTAAATACTGAAACATGTTGCCCATGGAAGTTGTGGATACTCTGACCTTGCAGGCATTCAAGACTCGACATGGTCCTGAGCAACCTGATCTAATTAGGCCTGTTTCGAGCTGGGGGGTTGGACTAGATGACCTCTGGAGGTCACTGCCAACCTAGATGATGATTCTGTAAGAAAAATCCATAACGAAGTCTCCTGGGTTTACAGTGACACTGCTAAAACATATCAATTTATTTATTCTGTTACACTGGTGAAGCTGCTGTACACAAGTCCCAGTTTTAACAGATCTGCTAGTATCTCCAAAGGAAGAATTGCAAAATATTTGAGCAGAAAATCCATTCATTTTCCTTTTACTTGTAATAAATTGAGCTGTTGCAAGTCTATACAAGATAACAAAAATTCCATTCCTCTCATCTGAGTATGAGACTAAAATAACAAAATTTAAAAAGTTTGGGGAGGAAATTTCAGAAGTCACTTACCCTGTGCGTGACTGTCCAACTTTATCACAGATGTCTAAGATGAGGCCCCAGTCCTCTGCAGTGTTCATCTCACTGGTTGCTTTCTCTGATGAATAAAGCATAAGTAAATCAAAATACAAATTTTAAAAAAACAGACAAAAGAGTTTAACAAAATTGTCAACAAAGATGCTGCAATATTACCTCTTTGTATATTACTAAATGCATGACAAACCCCTGTATTTAATACGTTCATATATTAAAACTGTTACACCTAATTCTTTTTAATTTTCAAATGTTCACTTGTGGCCTCAAATTTAAACTCATAAGCAAATATATATTTTGGGGTTGTTTTCCCACATAATAAAGATAAACCCAGAGTATGACAAAAGTACTACAGCTAACAACAGATTTTTTTTTTCCATTTGGAATTATAAAGTTTAATAGGATATGAATGCCCAAAGCATTAGTTCACGGTTTGCAGAGTCAGATACAACCGCCGCATTTACCACTTCCTCAGACACTAAACTGCTGTGTCTTGCATTTGCTCTCTATGTATTACAACTCAAAGAGGATTCAACAATTCATTAATAATCACTAAACTTTTATCTCCCCATTCTCATCTCTGCTTTGGATGATATATTCCACTGTCTCTTTTCAGCTATAAAGACTGCTAAACCAAAGCTAATCAGATAGAAGCCACCAGGACTCTTTCTTCCAAATCTTTTGAATAGGACAAGAAGAGTCCCTGCTGAAGAGAAGAAATAGAGAGGGTAGGTGGAGAAGAAATAGATTCCATGTCAGACAAAAAAAAATTAAAAAAAAAAAAAAAAAAAAAAAAAGACTCCCTCCCTATTTCTCCCCCAGAAAAGCTTAGGTACACAGAACATTACAATAAATAAAAGTGTTAAAGAAAACTGAGCCTTACACAGCAGCTGAGTGGAAGATTATATAAACACCGATAGATCAGATGAGGGCTGGAGAGCACAAGGGAATGCACAAGCAGTTTCCATTATTCACCAAACAGAAGGAGCATGGGCACAGAATAGCACACAAACTGTGTTTCCTATCCCTGCTTCATGTAATATTCATCTCAATCTACAAAACACAAAATATGCCTGAGCAATGAGTACCACCCCTCAGGGAATGTCTCAGACTACTTAGTTTTATGAAAGGAAGCGAAGATTTCCTATAAAAACTTATCTGCCAGGAAAGATTCATTATCCATACTAGCACTCACAAGACTACAGAGAAGAGAAAGACAAAGCAAAACATCTCATCTCCAAAAGTTACTAGGAATTATGCATCCCAAAGCTGATGGCTTGTCTTTATGAATGAGTTTGTCCTACAAATTGAAGTCAGGTTACAGTTAATTAGTTTCTTAATTCAGAACAAAAATGCAGAAAAGCAGAGCTCTATGGTTATGTGTTCTCAAGGTATTTCTGAGGAAAAATTAAACACTGCCATATACAGCTAGAATGGTAACACATCAGTTCTACTGCCTGATGCAAGGAAAACATCAAAGCAGTATAGGGAAATCCTAAATGGAAGTTAGTCATAATTCTGTATGTTCTCTCAGGTAAAGTAGAAGAGCACTGCCTCTTCTCTCTAAACTGAATCAGAAAACTTACTCGATTACGAAAACTGGTCATAATCTACAAATATATGAAAAAATTTTGGGTAAACGCCATGCTAACATCTAGCACTAAGATATACCAGCTGATCAACCAAACACTTTATTTTTCTTTTAGTCTACTATTGTTCCAAATCATGCTTAGGACTAATTATCTATTATCTAGATTATCTATATTTATATATAATATTATCTA